TCTTTCCACAGTGGTATCTGCATAGTCCTTCCTACTGCCATCACTTAATAGCTCAGGACCTGGCTAACTAGGACAAAGCATTTAATGTGAAGGTATGTCATTATATTGATGATTTAATGCTAACCTCCACATTTCTATCTACAATAAACAACACAGTAGGCTCTTTGTCTTCTATTTACAGGAGAAAGTATGGGCCATCAATCTTTAAAAGGTACGGGGACCTAGATTATCTGTCAAATTGTTGGGTGTTGCCTAGTTGCGTAAGACAAAAGTCCTACCTAATGCAGTTACTAACAAACTAAAAGCATTCCCTGTGCCAAAGGCAGTAACTTTGCTACCAGAGTTTTAAGTATATTGGAATACTGGTGGTTGTTCATACTATGTTTAACACAGATGTTAAGAATTTTCTATCGTCTGGTAACAAAAGGCCAGATGTGGGACTGGGACCAACAACAGGATGCCTTCCAGTAGGCAAGGCTAGCAGTAAAACAGCTACAGGTATAAAGCATTTTTGACCCCACTCTCCCCACCAAGTTAGACGTGCATGTGACTCAAGTGGGATCTGGGTGCCAATTGGAGCAACTCTGATAGGGCTTTGATTCCAGATGTGGCATGGAGCAGAAGAACAATTTAGTGTGATAGAGAGACAATTACTAGCCACATATTCTGCAGTACAAGCAATGGAACCAATAACACAGACAGCTGAACTTATAGTAAAAACACGATGTATCTAGAATTGGGTGAGAGATCTGATGCATATTCCTAAGACCCAGATAGCCTAATCTCATAGAATCATAAGGTTGGAAACGACCTGTAAAATCATCTGGTCCAACTGTCCTCCCATCACCACTGCTCCCACAAGCACTAAACCAGATCTCACAGCTCCTTATCCAGACCCCACTTGAACACTGCCAGGGACGGCAACTCCACCACCTCCTTGGGCAGCCATTCCATGCCTGACCACCCTCTGAGAGAAAAAGTTCTTCCTCATGTCTAAGAACACCATGCTCCAGACAAAGCCGGAACTGGGATATGTTCAGTATCACTGGAGGTGCAAATTTTTAGTTAGCACAACCAGACAGACTCTAACCATTTTTCATCCAACAGAAATCATCTGTACTTCATATGTTATTCAGTTCCTATTACCTGCCTGCATGTATGGCCTCAACCTGCTAGGTGCCTCAAGAGCAGCAGGAATGCCCCCTTTCTGGGACTCGATTCAAGGAAGCACAAGCACCAACAGTATTTGTTACAGATAACTACTTGTGATAGACAAGCAGCAAAACGGGAGTCCACCTAGTGAACAAGAGCATCCCTCACATACAGTGCTTTAATCAAAGACACTTCCAGTATGCTCCTGATCAACAGGGACTGACCTACACTATATATATATATATTTTTTTCTGTGATTATAATTTAAGTATTTTAAAGACTACAGTATTTTATCAGGAGAGGAGAGCGAATTTTGTTTACAATGAATAAGCAAACACATACACCACCCCAGGTGCCAAAGGCCAGCATACATTTCAGAACTGTCTATCTTCCTCCCCCAAGCATTTTAATTGAGGATATTTTATTTCTACTTGGAATAAAAAATAAAAAATAAAATTAAAAAGCGGGAAAGGTGCAAAAATACAGTTTGGTGTAAAGCAATACAGTAGACTGATTGCATGAGAAAACAGCACTCACTTTTAAAACACAGAAGAGGAAAAGTATGGAGAAAGTCTCAAAAACGACAAGGAAGAGAGAACAAAGTTGGTGTCTCTATCTGGCTCCAAGAAGCAATCAGATCTCCTACCTATATGAAAGACAATTAGATTTCAGCAGACAAGCCAGAAAGTAATGATTGTGATTGCTGATGCTGCAGACCATGGCTGGCCCACATTAGGTTAAGTAAGCTGGACGCAAGCCAGTATCATTGAACAAATGGCATGGCACATTCTGGAGGAATCTGAGGAGAGGTTACTAATATCTTAAAGGTGACCTTTCACACATGCTATCCCAGCAAATGGGGCAATTCTCTTTGCTGTAATGGAAGAGATGAGCAGAGGTTAGTCTCTTGTAATTATGCACTCTTCCTATAAACAGGATTTTTTAATATATAATTTTATAATAATTGACTGAACCTCATTTGAGGGAAGTACACTGTGCGCTCTATTGGTTTCCTTCAGTCCTTTCTCTCATTTGAAAGAAAACAATGTAACTTCTTATTCTTCATTATCATCCAGGCGGGCAGCAAGCTCAAAAACAAATTCTAATTTTTAGCTGTGTTACCTACTAAAAAATGAAAAACACTTCCCAAAAGGGCAGGTGCCTCAGGAAAAATGAAAATTACTAGGAGGGCTCTGCTTTCCTGAATGAGTTTTCCATAGATTATTTATAATTGAATGAAACCAATTACAGCACTTGTAATGGAAACTAAACACATACATAAAACATTTCCATTTTTTGCAGAAGCTGAACTACGTGCACAGGAAAAGATCTCTACATTTATGTGAAGGTAAAAGAGAAGTCATCGTTTTCTGAAAAAATGAAAGTACAAAGATGAAAAAATGAAAAAATGAAGTACAAAACCTTCTTAGAGTAGTCTGAAGGGCTACTATCTTATAATTGAAAACTGGGGCCCAGATTCCAAGAAGCCATCTCATAGACAGAAATCCTGAAGCTGGAGATTGAACTCCTTTCCGATTCTCTAGAGATGGAAATGCAACTTAATTAGGCTCGATTTTCTAAATAGAGGTTATTATCCTCTGTAGCTACTCAGTAAAGTTTTAAATCAATATCAGACTAAACACTTGCTCAAATAGTGGGACACGCTCTGTCTTCAAATCACAGTCTTACCCTGCAGAAATCTAATATCTGAAAAAGCTAAAGACTGAGAATAACGAACTGTTATACAGTTCTCATTTTCAAACAGAAAACATCCTTTTATACCCTACAGAGCAGTCTCTAAACCAACACAATCTTTTTTTTTTCTTTTTTTGGGGGGGAAAGAATTAATGTAGTTTCAAACAACACCTTTGAATGCATTCTGAATGAAAGAAAGAAAATGTTTCAAAGTTACAGCAAGGGAACTGAGTAAGACTAAAGTCAAACAAAATGATGTGAATATTCTTTGATATCCATCAAAGAAAATTGTCAAAAATACTTCAGAGGTAATACTGCTTTGAAAGCAGCTAGAAGCAATATACTCATTGACTTCATCTATAATTATCTGGTATCATTTGGATTATGTATGCATTTTACTCCACAATTAAACTAAACAAGAGCATAAGAAGAGGCTTACAAATGCCATGCAGAATTACAATTTAGCATTTTGTAGCATGTTGTATATATTGCAGGAAATATCTGTCAGACCATTTTTGCCGCCAGTAGTCAGGAAGCTTCAGTTTATTCCTAATTACTACTGCGTAATCAATAATGAAGCAGTGTGATGATTCAAGAGGCATCTATCTATACTAAGATGAAACTAGTATTATTAATTTAGAATATATTTTCATTTTCCTAGACTTGCATATAACTAATCTGATAGGGAAAATGAGAGCAGATGTAAGAATGTTGTCCATTATGCGTTCCAGAATTAACACTGCTTTATGTCATACATTATGATGCTCCCAACAAGACATTAGCAGGAGCAAGATCTGTTCTACACCACATGTAGGCTCCAAGGCCAGTAGCGTAGTAGACAAGAAAGTAGACAAATCTTTTCTTAATATTTCATGTTTATCCCTGATTATCAAAATAGCAGATATGAGTGTCATGGATGTAAAGTAAAAGCAGAACCCCCAGGCGACATGAACTAACATCACTTCAAATGATACAGTTAAAATTCTATCAGATTACTAAGAATGGGGGGCATTTATTTACTTTTTTACATCATTTGCATATATACAGTCACTCTGTTTCCAACCGCTCTTCTAAATTAAAGGCAGCTGTGGCACTAGGTATCTTGGAAGGTTACAAATTACAGCCATTTTCTCCTGGCAAAAAAATGTTCTTAGCCCAGAAACATCCCTGCCATATTCTCTTCGCACAGAATCTTTCAGCTCTTTTTTCCTCTTACATAATAGATGACCCGAGTTCAGCCTAGGAATTCAAGTTTAGATCTGAGCATTTCCTTCTAATTTGTTCTCTGCAAGAATTCCTTCCCTAAGAAAGAGAGATCTACTTGCATTTCTCGTTTTAAATTAGGCTTTCTCCTCCTTAAGGCCACACTACTACATTTTGACAGCCATTGCTAAACTTCACAGAGATGTAATCAGATTCACTGTTACTCATTTCAATAATTTCTGCTGTAACTTTCAACATCTTGAGAGAATATCAATCAGTCAAGATGATGCTATTATTTACAAGAATTCTGCCATCCTAGTTATATCCTCTTTAATCTCTCACTTAAAAAAAGATGGAATTATTTCAGTATTTTGTTCTTCTGCTAATGTAAATGCTGTCAAATAAGTACCTTTCCTATTGCTTTTTCCAGCTTTCATTGGAGGAGGGTACTCACTGTAGACTTCTACTACCTTCCTGATGTCTCAGTCATCAGCACAGAAACGAAGTGACTGTTAAATTATGAAGAATTTACAATTGAATTGAATTGAAGAATTTTACGAAAAGTTTCTTCGCATTTGTTTAGAAACATGCTGTTTTAACCCTCTACGTTATTGCCTGTGGAATGCCTCCATACATTACAAATACTTACATGCCAGGGGAACATTGTTTCTAGAATTCCAGGATCAAATATTTTTAAGTATGAAAATATGCTGTTGATATCAAGTATATTATAATATACTGCAGACAAGCTAGAGCTACCTCCACCACTCCCTCACCCCTCCTTTTATTTCAGTGTGGACTCCACTAAACCCCATCCGTAATATTTTCATGGACTGTTTACAAAGATCCGGTTGAAAACCAAAAGCTGATCTACAGAAAACACAAACTTGTTCAAACATTTAATAATGAAATTTATAGATGGGGGTAGGGAGTGATCACTGAGCACTTACTGTAGCAGAAAGCTGTGGTCCATTTAACTGTGCGTGCAGGATGGCTTCATTGATGGAGTTCCAGATTCCCGTCAGTGCTATTTCCAGATCATGTGAGGCACCCATTTCATTAGTCAGATATTCCAGTGTGGAGATATACTCCCTCCATTGCATATCCAGTTCTGACACGCTGGCCAAACAGCCCCTCATCACATTCAGACAGTATCCAACACAAGGTCTGATTAGTGTCAGGCCCTGGCAATGTGGGCAGTACTGCATCCTCACTAGAGCTCTACTGCACTCCTTGGTGAGGGCAGCGTGTTCAGTAGTATTTATCACTTCAGTGCCCAGACTGAGAGCCTGGCTGAGCATCCTACTTGCCCAAAGAGATTTTGACAGCTCTGTAACCATGTTTTTAGAATAGTGTCCAAAAGGATTTATGTCTTGCCTCGTAAGCCGAAGACATTCCGTATAGTCCTCTGACAGATCAGTAATTCCTGGATTTATTAGCCGACTATACACCAAAGGAAAAAGACTGTCAAAAAAACGTAATACTGCATTTTCCACTGTAGTCTCTGCACCCAGGATGTAGAGGGAGATGTCTGTGAAAAGTTCTTTAACAGGCTCTTCTGCTTCTTTTGCTATAGGTCTGTAAGCTGCTTCAAACAGAGATCTTGTATGGTTTTCAGCCAAGCGCAGGAAGGACTCAAAGGCTTCTAAAAAAAAAAAAAAGGGGCAGGAGAGAGAGAGAGAGAGAAAGATGTTAGATGTTAACAGCAAGCAGCTTGCATCTAATTCACAGGACTAATAATATCCTGAGCAGGGACACCAAGAGCTACACAGAATCAGCAGTGTGAATACACTAATAATTAATACAGCTTTCATCAGAATATGACAAAAAAGACAAGTAAATATTACATGTGTATAATAAAGAAATGTCTTAACACACAATTTTTTTTAAAGAAAGATTATTGTATTATCACTAGTTATACCCCAACTCAAGCTCTAGTGGTCACTGCTGGATCTTCACAGACAGTGGGCACAGGGATCAGATGTATCTAGATGTTTTGTTTTTTTTTTAACTGACACTGTATTTGAGCAATACAACAAAGACACATCATCAAAACATCCTTTACATCAACCAGCATTGCTGGTTTTGAGTACTTAGAGAGAACTACAACATTTTCAATGCCTTGAATATGTCTCTATAAAACTGCATAGTAGAATACTTGGACAAGCAGAATTATGGAAGCCATGAACTGCTAATGACAGGAATACCTGGTAACGGGGGGGGGGGGGGGACACGACGACATAATTAGTACTGGCTGTATAAAAAATTATGCAAATATTCATCAATGCTCAGAAATGTTGATCCTCATTCATTACCAGTACTTCTCAACTGTAGCTATTTGAAATGATTTAATAATTTAACAGTTCATGAAAGCATTATCTTGATAACACAATGACAGCTTAACGTTTTGCTAGCTTTCATCCCAAGTATCTACTGCTATGAAATAACATTGCATCAAAAATGGAGAGAAGTGTAAAGGCAACTGTGTTGTGTGAAATGTTGTCTAGACGTACAAAAAACATGTGTGTGCACATTTGGATAGCTGACATGCAGAGTGGATACATGCTAGAATGAAGGACAAGACAAAGACAAATGTACAAAGAGCAACTTCAGACAAAGCTGCTGGACAGCAGCTCAGTGAAAGACTGAGATAACTGAATGTAAACATAAGCTGATGCTTTTCTTTCACAGTCCTGTGAGTGGATGGCTGAGGTGCACTTCTTGCAAAGAACAGATCAGGAATAAAGGGAAGATGCTGTGTGAAGAAATTCTCTCACTGTTAACATCAGCTTGGCCTGAGCTCCAGCCAAGGGTTATGCAGAACTTAACATTGAGTCTATGAACAAAGAATGAGATGAAATTTTAAGTTCAGGAAAGCAGTATTTCACTTAACTACACCATTTTTGAATGCTCTTATAAAAAAAAATAAAAAAAAATTAAGAAATGCCATAGTTAAAGCATTTGAAATTGCACAATGTAACTATTATACAATGACCAAGGTGCTAGAATTTGTAGACAGATTTGTAGACAGGAACACGCATAGAATCAATTCCCAAGATTATTTTTTGATGACACAAAAGACAGTAATCTGAACTATTCCCACTGCTTTTTTTGGAAACTGTACAACAAAACGCCTCTGACATAAATCATGCTCACACTTCTCTGAATGGCAAGTAGTTCCCGCTAAGGGAGGAAACCTATCACGTTTTGCCCCCTGAGGACTGGCCAGATAATGGGCTTTCAGTCTAATCCTACTCTGCATTCAGCTGAACATCACCATGCAATTCAGAGCAATGTAACACAAACTGATCTAGCCCAAACATCAGCTTAGCAAAGGAGCTGACACAATACTGTAAGATTAGCACACACTGGCCAAGTTTTGTAGAAGAGCCTGCTCACTGCCTTCCTCTGTTACATCTCTCTGGGCTAGTTGCTAGTGTGGAGCATTACAATCCCCTCACCACGAAGGGCAATTTAATCAGACAGATAATATAAGATATCTCATTGTACATTAGTATTTTACACACATGCACGAGCTGTTTCCTTCTTCCTGAGAATCACTTCAGCATTCTCATTGATGCTAAACCACGAATACTCTGAAAGAATATCAAGAAATGAAACACATTTCCATTTAAAAAGAAAGAAGCTCCTTCTCAGACAGAGAAACATCTTGCCAAGTTTCAGAACGAAGCAGATTTTTACAGCTGTGTTTAAAAAAAAATCCTAACTTGATTCGTGATGAAAATGCTGACACAACTAAATTGTAATGCAGTCAGCTGCATGCCCCTGTACCATTAGATTTTTTTTTGTGTTTGACGATTCACCTGAATTCACCTACTTTTATTTGTAAGGAAAATCTAACAACCATTTTTATTTATCACATTGAAAAGACAACAGAAATCTGAAGAGCATGAAAACAGTGCCCTAGGAGTTTCCTCCTTTACTTCATCCCTTGCAGATAAGCAGCCTGCCATTAGGTTATGGAAGCAGGGACTCTCTCCAATGATGCCAGTAGATTCCTACATGCCCTTGCCTTCCACCTCTATAAACTCTGCAACCATCACCCTTCTTATCTGAATAAATGAAACACATTTATGAATTTACATGTATTCTCAATTTCCTGGAAAATAGCAGCCCCCAGTGAAAGACGAGTTACTGACAACTTACCTCCCAACAAAACAGATTTCAGGAGCTTCCTGGGTAATAGGTTGTAGACTAGAAACCACATAAGCCCTTTACTTTCAAATGTCCCTTGACTATCAAAATTCTGCATGCAATTAAGTGGAATTACACTATTTTGTGACAGGTATGAAATTAAAATAGTTGAGTGCCGTTTGTTTTTCATTATGCAAGAGAAACGATAATGGCACACAGCTTTATTCCTCTTGCAAAAAGAGCCAGAGCATTGAGCGTACAGTACAAAAACATTTCTGCTGGTTGTAGGTACACTGCAAACATCAGTAAGGTACCATATGCTTCCTTATCATTATCCACCAATGATAAATCTGACAGTCACCCTTGAGAAGGAAACATGTGGGACTTGACTTTCTTGTTGTAAGGCATTAAGAGACAGCAGAGAATCAAATTACTGGGTCATCTGGATATTCCTAGATCTTTTCTTAGAAATAATGCAGCTTCAAGCAGTTGAAGCAGTTGTGCAAGAGTCTACCTTAGCATCCTGTTTTATTTGATTTATTTATTTTATTTATGATTATTTACTTTAAATATACTTTCTACGGTACTTTGTACACTTCCTAGATCTCAAAGGTCTAAGAAGTAAGACGTTCCTCTGTGTAGCCTCAGCACACACAAAAAAGAAAAATATTTGGTCATCTTTACAGTCCTTCGTATCAACCTTCCACAAAATCAAAGTACAAATACATGCAAATATATCGATTCTGGAATAAGTTGTAAAATTCTCCAGAATGTGAAGGAAACATTATGTAAGTTTTTCCTTCATTTATTATTAAAATAAATAGGAAGATGGAAATCACAGTTGTTCTTATGCTCCTCAAGAGCCACTTTTTTGATTGAAGTCTACACGGAGAAATCAAAGCCATGTCTGGAGCCTGGACTAACACACCAGTGACTCCTTAATGAACATCACCTTCATGAGAAGAATTTTGTTCATTTTGCTCATCCTGTGCTTACAAAGCAGAAGCAGATTTTAAGCAACATTATAGACCAAAGAAAAGTAACTAATATTTTAACACTAGCGTGGGAACCACCTTTCCAAAATAAAGTCAGCTTAAGCACCAGAGACCTCTGTGCACAGGGGGCCATTTCTGTTGCTCAGCAGCAGAGGCTCACATACAACAGGCCTACTCCAGCTGAAACCCGAGTCTACCAAGGCCAGCCCTCCAAAACTGAGTGCAAACATCGACACGTGTGAAGGGCAAGTTACTGTCATTGCTGTTAGGCTTCTGTGTGAAATGCCCTGCTAATGCAAGGTCTCTACGTTCATCATTTCTTACCTTCTGCAATAACTGAATAAACATTAACTTACAAAAAAAGTCCCCCTGCAACAAGGAAAACCACTGTATTATAAACATTAATGACAATATTTGGGAATGGTCAAGAAACCAAAAGTAGAAGCCAGCATTGTATCTAACTATACAGAAATAGGTATACATTTTAGATCCGTGTGTGATCATAAAAGAATAATGACAAATGGAAGTCGCTCCATTATCTCTTGGGTCTCTTAGGACCACACTAAGATTTGGCTCCTTTCCCTTCAAGGTCTTCCACTTAGTACCAAGTTACAAAGTGCATGAACGTTTGTTCTAGATTTGTTGAAAACAGCTTCCTTTTAATGCTTTCAAGTCCTTTAAATCTTCTATGTCTTTACAGTTTGCCAAAACACAGGACAAGACAAACATATTTTGCAGCAGTAGGAATGAAGAACAGATTATTTGAAATTTGATGCAAAGTTCTACGTACACAACAAGAAGTCACACTTGTACAAATTCTTGTAACGCACACGATAAAATTCAGAGTTCCATATTCACAGATAAGCAACAAAATCTAAACATTTATGTATGTGAACAAAAATAACAAAGATTGCTCAGGTTGCTACCTATCATTAAATAACATAATCAAATTTGGGTTGTGAGATTGTTGTCTCTTTTTTGTTTGGTTGGTTTTTTAGATTGTAGGATTGTTTTGGAAAAGAACGTAAGCACAAAACAGTCACATTTAGAGCAACAGAAGTCTATTAAGCTACTTAAGAAAACTTTCTGCTGCATTTCTTTACTTCTAGCAAAACACCACAGTACAGAATGTCATGGGCTGGATGTTTTCTTCTGCTCTGTCCTCAGTCATTATGCTGAAAAAAGCACCAAAGCTCTTTATTAACACACTATTTTTCACTTTTTCATGTGTTTTTAGAATGGCAGGCTTCCTACATGCACATGCACTATCTCTTCACAAAACTGATCAGAAGTAACATCTTAATAAGCATCATTATGTAAGCGGTCTCATGGAAATAAGATGCTCAGCATGTAAGCAGGAAACACAGCAACCTTGCTCATAAACATTTTGGCCAGAGAAAAAACTCCAATGCTGGATCAAGTGGAAGCCTCTCTTGCTTTCTACTCGTCTCCTGTTGCTGCTTTTAACATAGAATGGGAAACAGAGATCCAAAAA